AGGTTGAGGTGCCACTTCGGCGAGACTGTCTAGATGTCATGGACGCTTATGATCAGAAAGATCATGACGCTCCGCGTCGTAGCGCGCCCCGCGCTTCTCGGCGATATCCCGAGAATCCGGAAGGCCATTTGCGTAGCTCATGCTATGGCCTTGAGCTGCTATGGTCGTAGACACACCCGTATGAGAAACCACAGAGCTCGCGGGGACGTAATGGATGATTCCATGTGTCGCGGGGCGACAATACGCAGGAAGTCGTTGCGCCTTGAGTTTTGCGAACTCAAATCTAAGATGGCGCTTGACTCCACGTCCACTTCATTGTGGCTTCGCTGTTCGGTAGACAGCGAGGAAATTTTTCGGTGTCGCTGCACCCATCGCTCAAAGAGATCTTCATCATCTGCAGCTGTTTTGCGGGTGCGAACACCACAGGAATAGTTCGCATTGCGGGTACGGGAGCACCTCTTTTCGAGCTCAAATTAGAGCGCGGTGTCGATCCATTTGGATCTCTTGTTGTAACAAAAAGCGACCTCGCAGCGCCTTCTGCTGATCAAGCTCAGTTTGTGTAGCGGCCGGGGGCCCGACAACGTAGACGCCTAAAGATCGAGTGATCGTATCTTTCGCTTCAGTAACGGGATCCCTCGAGCAAAAGCCGTAATCCACACGAGGGTCGAAGACCGAACGTGGATATGAGCGCAGGAAAGCCACCCAGGAGCAGCCTCTAATTGCTGCTCTTGTGCTTCGTCGAAGCGATTGATAATACTACTACTTATATCGGAAGTCGAGATGTCTGGGAATGGTGTTCGCAATGTTTGAGCTGGGCTTACGTCGCACCGTTGGCGCACTTCATCTTCCTTGTTATCCCATGCTGGAAAAGAGTTTTCGACTCGTAGTCGGCTTCTCCAACTCCTAGTTGATAAATTTTGTCGCCCGGTGCGAGTGCGTTGTGTTGCGCTCAGTTGTCGAGGGCATGGGATGTGATTTCCGTTTTCCCGCGGACATACTGTCCAAAGAAGTACCTTGTGCAGAAGAAAAAGGCATTTGTCTGTGGGCACCCCCGGAACCAGCTAGGCTGGGTGTTTTGCATATCGTAGACACATGGTATGTAGGACTGAGAATGGTTAAAGATGTTTAAGAAATGATGAAGGTGTCTCAGACATGCGAGCCTCGTATGAGGCGACCATTTAATGTTAAATTGGGGATATTTACAATCTTAATGGAGGAGAGTGTATTTGGTTACACGAATCCTTGCAAGAAAGGGTGGGTAGCACAATCCTGTGTGTGTGATGTACGTTTGTATGTATTACACAAGTTAGTGTAATCACACATGGTGTGGCTACACCGTAACAAGAATCCACCACGTCGTAGGATTGCCAGTAATAATGCATTGATTCGGTTTCTCTATAATAAGTGGCGGCTACGTTGACGAAACCCTCAATCCATGCGCAATATTTGTCGAGTGGATGCTCTGTGCATCTTGTTGACCAAGCCATCTTGCCTTATCGTCGGCGACGAAACTCTGATGGGTTATATGTTATGGCTGTCCTGTCGTAGTCAGTCTATATGCCCGAAAAGACAGCACCTCCTTGTCTTGCTTCTTCATATCGAGTGCATTCTTTGTAATTCCTTGGCCTGATGCATCTCTCTGCAGATACTTCCTGCGATCATCATGTCATCCACAT